AACACTTCGGAATGCGACGGCACCCTTAAGGCTTTGCGACTGGGTTTGGCAACTAAGCAATCATATCGAGATGGTCCACATATCTGGTAACTTAAAGGGATTGTAAAGATTTTAGAAAACCTCTTTACAAACCCTTTAATGATTGTGTGGTGTTTTCAAACCTTTTTTTGTCACAAAATGTTTTAAACAGTAATCACTATAATATTTATGTTTGATATATTCAATAAGAAATTGATTACGTAGCTCTAAGGACAGATGAGGATTCTATACTCTTTTATCACGTTTGTGATGACTAACGACAATATTCATAGTCTATCGTATAACGTCATAACCCCTAGATCGTTAAAGGGCATAAATTCATTTCCGTTTTCAATAGCAAACAAACTTATTCCACCCTATTGTATCTTATTGTATCCCACTATGACCACATGCTTAATAAAACCCTTTTAGGTATAATATTTTCCTATAGAAATAGGTCGGTCTTATTGGGAATGTTAGTAGTGTAATGGTTAGGTGTGGCTATGTGTCAGGTAGACCATGTCATTGGGAAGTATATACATGTACAATTAACCAAAAACACCAAGCCATTCAAACAAACAGCCATTCACTAGACCGACTACTCTGTACAAACTTGGCTTGTATTTCACATGGATATATTGTCGTACAGGAAATAATTAGAGGTGATAAATATCCAGCAAGGTAAATAGATACTTAGATTATGACGTTACGTTACTTAGAATTGGAATTGGAGCCTAGAATATTGGTGTCAATAAGTTTCGCGATGTGTAATTTTTCAATCACTATTATATTCCGTCCCTGTGATAACAAATATTTTCAACTGGATTATGTCAACCCATGCCCTTATTGATGTTTGACAAGTATATAGTGATCTTCAGGCGAATGGACTAATTCAGTTTGTATCCCTACTGAAGTTTGACTAGTAGAGATCTTCAGACAACTGGACTAATTCAGTCTGTGTCCCTACTGAAGTTTGACAAGTAGTGATCTTCAGACAACTGGAATATTTCAGCCTGTATCCTTACTGAAGTTTGACAAGTTGAGATCTTCAGACAACTGGAATATTTCAGCCTGTATCCTTACTGAAGTTTGACAAATTGAGATCTTCAGACAACTGGAATATTTCAGCCTGTATCCCTACTGAAGTTTGACAAGTTGAGATCTTCAGACAACTGGAATATTTCAGCCTGTATCCTTACTGAAGTTTGACAAATTGAGATCTTCAGACAACTGGAATATTTCAGCCTGTATCCCTACTGAAGTTTGACAAGTTGAGATCTTCAGACAACTGGAATATTTCAGCCTGTATCCTTTCTGAAGTTTGACAAGTTGAGATCTTCAGACAACTGGAATATTTCAGCTTGTATCCCTACTGAAATTTGACAGGTAGAGATCTTCAGCAACTGTCGAGGCTGAATATTAAATTCGGCAACTCACAGTCACAGGCCTTTCCTGGAACTTCTATGAGGGTTCTTCATGGAAAATTTTGAAAAATTGTAGTATTGCTGTGGTATGTAGGCGAAAACATGTAAGAATCATAAAAAATATAGTTGGGGCACAATAGGGGGTTCAAACATTTTATTTTGGGGGGGGGGGGGGGGTCTGAGGGCAAACCTTCAGACCCCCAATAACGCCGCCCTTACTACCGGCAAGTTAAAGATCTTCAGACAACAGTCCCTATTGAAAATCAACTAAGATTATCATTTTAGGCCGAAATATAATATTAGGATTTTATCGGAATTTTCAATCAGTTGGGACACTGATATTAAGATAGATCTGAAGGGGCATGTCTGTTTTATTGGTAATGGGGATTACGTATATTGGCATTATACTAAAGGAGTTTGAGTGAACAGGAAGTCACGTATTCCAGATAATACTACCACTATATAGGGATGATATTAGGATATTATTGAGGTCCGTAAACTCGACACCTGTAAAGTTTCTTTGAATTATTAGGTGAGGGGTGAGGGGGGGGGGGGGGGGGCAGTGGGCAGGGGGCAGAATTGACAAGAGGTGTGTACTTACAGTAAAACATGGTGATCTTCTCAATTTCGCAGAATCCACATAGCTCTTTCAACTGTCAAGTTGTGTGTGATTTTTTATTTTTAGTTTATGTCAAAATGTTTTTATAATTTTTGTGGCTGAGAAGGTCATTTTTTTTGTAAAATTTTAATAGGGTTGACAATCTTGTACGAGTACAGGTCCTATATAGAGAATGGAGTTGGTATTTTAGGCGAAACAAAAAGTCTGTTTCCAAATGATTTCAAATTGATGTGAATAAAATATATTTTTTTTTGAAAAAAAAGAACAAAAAGATAGAAAGTACAAGACCTTCAGGGCTAGTATATTCAGATCTCTACCCCTAGATATTCCCTGTTCTAAAACGACGAATGTCACTCCGATAAATGGCATGCATTCAATAACGAAAAATACATGAAAGGAAACAATAAACTCGTTCAACCTTGGATCAGTGTAAACATATTAAAGACCTAAAAAAAGGAGTGTATGAATGGAAGAGTATAGGGCTATTGACGTTTTATTAGATATAGCTATAAGTGTATAATTTACTCCGAAACTCTGTCCCATCTCACTGTTCTGGTAACTGTCCATCATGGCGAAGTTAGAAACTTTTTATAAAGAACCTAATTTATTTATTTTACCATATCCGACCAGTTTTTAAAAACCTAAGAAGTCTTGGAAAATGTTTTAGTCATACATGAAACGAAACATTAAATGCTGTATTGTAATTTCTGCAAAAACACAATAATCAATATTTATATCGAACTCGGGAAAATAAAGATATGAAATAGGTTTAAATTCTTGGAACTATATGGCAAAACAGTTTTTGGGCTGCAATAAGTAGCTTTTGAATTCAAAGTTAAATAACAGACAAAAGATCTGATTATCATCCCGGTCTTCACTCATTTGTCTCGGCGACCCAAACCTAAGCTTTGTAACTGCTCCCGACCCTGAACTATGCCAGATTCTGGATCAAGAATACTTATAAGTGTTGAAACATTAGTTATGATTACATGTAATTATGTAACATCTCATTATTACGTCTCAACTGTTAGAATTATCTAGTTAAAGACGAGTGTAATACTACAGTGTTCTTCGAACAGTCCTTGTCAATTTTTTTGTATCTCGGTCAGCACGTGGCTATTGCTGTCATCGAGGCACGTTGATCGACAGCGATCATTTCTCAAATTGAATCACATTTCCAAGAATCTGAGGCTATAGTTCTTACTGCACTGTACTGTACGACCTCACCAATGTGGTTGCGACCCATGCGACCCTAGACAGGACCTGCGACCCTCTGAGTGTGTGATAGCGACCCTGTTTTGGGTCGAGACCCATGATTTGAAGACCGGGGGATCAGTTAGGACTTCTAATGTATTCTCTTATCCTTATTAAGGACCAGATAGGTTAGTGATTTTCGGACTACCGTTCGATAAGAAATAAACATGAATAAAGAATTGTGAAGAAAAATAAAAGCAATAAACGAACACGTGGTTAATATTATTGTTTGTATACTTGTATTTGTATTTCAATATAGACTTGTATATACAGTCATTGTAGGGGACATAGTGTAATTAAAAATTATGGAAAAAACACCCTGTCGCACGTGGTTTGTTTCTTTTTTGATATGCGGGTAGTTAAACAAATTAACATGCTTACTGCTTCACTCATTACAAAGTTATTTGTGTGGGATTACTGAAACGTTTTGATTTATTACCCGCAATAATAATATTATTAACAATAGGGACTTACTGATAGGGATGTCGAGTTGACATACCTCGGTTTCAGAGTGGCATGATAACCATTTACCGAATGGTATGGATTATTTACAAAAATAACGTTAAGCAGAGACGGTTCTAGTCTCTTGGGAATTGGGGTACAAGTAGGGGCCAGTTTGGCTGATTGGGGGTGGGCTGATTTTGGGGGGTTGAATTCAAAATGCGGCATCTCTTTGGAGGCGTAATAATCGCAAACCTCTCATGAAGTGTCTGAGATGGTTCTCCAAAGAAAATATCCCAAACTTGAGTTGATTTGGTCCATTCTGACACATATTTTAGGGCAAAAACGTTTAAAAAATCATATTTTTAAATTTGTTAAAAATAAAGTAGGGGTACAATCGGGGGTGAAAACCATTTGTCTGTAGGGGTGAGGGGCCTTGGCGCCGTCACTGGTGATTATAGGGACCTTCTTATAGGGATGTCGAGTTGTCAAAAACATTTCCAGAACAGCATTTCGGATTATAATGTCTCGAGTTAAAAAGGTTTCAAGTTATTTTCACTTTATGTGATGTTCAAATTGAATTAACGGAGAGATTTTGTATTTGTTATTGGAGCGTTTAAAACTTCTTTTTCAATAACGGTCTAATTCAAATACTAAGGCCTGTCAATCGGTATTTTAAACCCATTAATGTGGTTTTCTTTTTCTTTTTAAGGTATGTGAAAATGATGGTGAAAAAAGGATGGTCGTCTCATAGAGAATGTCACACTAATTGAATAGCATGATATTTCATGTCGGTTAAGATATAAATAGCCGATAACATAAATATGAGACCTAATTTTGCCTGTCAAATTATATATAACATAGCTGGTGACGACTTGATTCCAGTGTGCTTTCTTAAGAATTATATTACGATCTGTTGAAATTTGTGTCTCATAGTCAAATTCTGTTAATTTCAAAACCAGAATTATAAACTAAATATGTATATAAAATGTCGACGAGACGATATGTCTCATTTTAAAAAAGCGCCTGTTTTACTGAAACGTTCTTCCAAACGGATGAGTGATGCGTCCAGTGCGGTTTTTATATTCGGAGTTGTCGTGCTTGGAATCGTCATCGGAAATTGGTTGAAATATCGTCTGCTTATTCCTAATGATTATTCAGAATGTGGACTTCCGGCAGAATACATTCAAAAGAAAATGGCGTCTAAAGTGCTTGCTAACCAGACGTCAAAAGACTCATTAGTTATGGTTGGTATAATGACAGCCAAGAAATTCATCGATTCTCGAGGCTTGTCTGCTTTCCGCACGTGGTACAGTACTATCAAAGGCAGAGTGAACTTTTTCTCGAGTGAAGGATCCACGTCTGATTATGGAGTGCCAGTTATCGCCCTTCAGGGAGTGGACGATTCCTACCCTCCTCAGAAAAAATCGTTCCTCATGTTGAAATACATGCACGATCATTTCATTGACGATTACGAATGGTTTGTACGTGCTGATGATGACGTTTTCATCAAGGGAGATAAGTTGGAACAATTCCTTCGGCGTATCAACAGTTCGCGGCCATATTTTATCGGCCAGACAGGAATTGGGAAAAAAGAGGAGCTAGGGATGTTAGCCATGACGGAGGCAGATAATTTCTGTATGGGTGGACCAGGGATTATATTCAGTCGTGAAACGTTGCGCCGTATGGCTCCCCATATCGGTTACTGTTTGAACAATCTCTATACTACCCATGAAGACGTGGAGGTCGGACGGTGTGTTCAGAAATTTGGAGGAACTCAGTGTACTTGGTCGTATGAGGTAATGTACTTTCTATTTCTATATTACACTTTTTGATTAGCTCAGTTTTACACAATGCAGGTGCAGCCAGAAGGTTCTGACAATTTTTAACTTGTACAAGCTTTGATATAAATGCCGAACGAATACTAGTAGGTACACAAATAATGACACCAAGGAAAGTGTTGCGTGTGGTTAAGTATGCCTTATCTACCCTTGATCCCATTTTAACTTACAATTCATTGAATTTCATGCTTTGACGTAACAATTGGGATAGGGAGGGGCCGTCCAATGGTGGCCTTTTTGTGGAGTTTGGCGACACGAAAATTGTAGACTTATGGACTAAAGGTGTGTTGTACGGTGTGGGAGTATTGATACAGTAGAAAATAGTACAAACGAATCATATCTGCATCGTGTCAGGACCCGTACCTCGTGTGTTCATTTGTTCTATTTTCTACTGTATCGTACACCACATCAGACACCGTCATCGTCTACTATCACCTTAACACTTTCCTACCCTTAGTTAAACAATGGATTTCAATGAAATAATCCCGAAGCTTTGACAAAGATCATTTTAGTTAAAATCTAGCCATTACCTTTTACTTATCTGATCTTTGAAGATCAAATGCTAATCCATCTTCATACTTACCTTACGAATTGCAAGATTTCAATCATAGTGCACTAACACATTGCAAAGTATTCATCTGAAACGTTGTTTTCTTATAAATATATATATATATTCTCTTTCAGATGCGGGACATTCTGTATCAGAATTATCAGGAATATCACGGCTCATACAAGGAATCCCTTAAAAAACCGGAAGTGGAAAATGCTGTGACGTTACATCCGGTGAAGGAACCAGTATATCTATTCCGAGTTCATTCATATTTTATGTCAACTAAAGTAATGCGCCTGCGTCAAAAAATGATAAATTTGAATAACGAAATTGATATGGTAGAATCAGCGATTGCAAAACGTGATGATAAAAGCACTGTCTCATCTCGTTGGGAAAAATACAAACCTTATTCCGTTTCAGAAGTCATATCGTGGGATTATATAACTCGTTCTGTATTCTCTCCATCCCATAATAATCCACAACATGGCATCGAAAAGTCAGCGGTGGCCGCCTTCACTGACATGAAACAACAAATTTTATTGGATTTAAACAAGGACAAAAAGACTTCAGGAATCACGAAGGAAATAAAAGACATGCTTCAATGTTACAGAAAAATTGACCCTCAGTATGGTTCCAACTACGTCATGGATCTCAAAATAATGACTCGTAAACCGAAAGCTCGTGCCGTAACGGCACCCCAACGGTTTTCATTCCAACAGACTTTTTCGGAAATTTTATTGATGGAAGAAAATCTCGAGAATTCTATAGAAAATATTAGTTTCTCTTCTAAAATAGTCAAACTTTTTCAAACGTTGTCGTTTTCTAAACCAGTGAACAAGCGCACAGAGAAAATTCATTTTATTATGCCTCTTGCAGGCAGATTGAAAATATTCGAAAGATTTATGCGGAATTTTGAATTGGTTGGTCTCCAGTCCGACCAAAATGTGACTTTACACGTGGTGTTATTCCATAGTGAACGTGAAAATGTTGAAAGTGATATAATCCGTGTGATACACTCTTATCAAGCCAAATATGGGAACAAAGTGGAGCTAATTCAAGCACGTGGACCCTTTTCACGTGGAAGAGGGATCGAACTCGGTGCATCTCGATGTCATAATAGTGCTTTATTATATTTTGTGGACGTGGATATTATCATGACACAAGGTTCTTTAAGGCGAATTCGAATGAACACAATTCAGAATTCGCAAGCATATTTTCCAATAGTGTTTAGTCAATACGATCCGGTTACGGTTTGTCTGAACGACACGCCGTATTGTACATGCGAAGACGGAAAGTGCCACATTGACAGCTACGTCGTGGAGGAGGACGCCGGATATTGGAGACAGTTTGGGTTCGGGATTGCGTCGATGTATCGCAGTGATATGGTCAGTGTGGGAGGTTTTGATCTGACGATTGAGGGGTGGGGCAAGGAGGACGTGGACCTTTATCAGAAATATTTAGAAAGCAATTTAACAATATTCCGAGCCGTGGACCCGGGAATGACTCATGTATACCATGAAATATATTGTGACTCGAATCTAGAGAGAAGTCAGCTGATAATGTGCAATAATACCAAATCTAAGAGTTACGGTGGAATGCAGTTCGTGTCTAACTTTGTTTATTCCACAAAAAGTTTGTATGATAGGACGGAACAGTTTTTATTAAACGTTAATAAATAGAGTAGGGGTTTTCAACCTAAGGGTAATTTTGAAAATTTTGGGAGTACAATGAGGCGCTTTTACAGGGAAAACCTAAGAGAAAATCACAAAATAGTGAAGATTTATAGGGGGGTATAGTAGGGGGGGCCGGGGGGGGGGGGGGGTTATGCAATTGATCAAGGAACCTGAAAGGGGCAATAGAAAGAAAAAGGTTGAAAACCTTTGAAATAGACTGTATTTTTCTAGTGATAATAGACAACAAAGATATTAGCGCTCACTCAGGAACTACAGACATGAGCAGTCCATGTTTTGTTAAAAAGCTGAACGAATATAAATCTGGAATGTCCGCATTCTTTTATCTTTATTCCTCCTAAAAAATAAAGTAGACAATTCATGTTGATTCTAGAATAGTCACCGCATGTGTTGGCTTATGTAGATTTGAATATTTGGTAATTCTGTCTTCGAGGTCATTCTACAACCTCAAAGTTCATAGCTAAACAGTTTTGGTAAATTTATTTGTGCGGGTTTACATTAATGTCATTCTTCATTTCATATTTACATTTTCGTCATTGTTTAAGCGGGTGATTTATCAGTTTGTATACTTGTGGCGCTTTTTACCAAATATTGTTCTCAAATTATATACATATACAATAATCATCTTAACAATGTCCAGTCTTATACCTGTAAGTTTGTAAATGCAGCGATTTGGTTGGATTGTGAATTGCGAAAACCACCAAACATTAAGCCAAGTGTTTACAGTCTTTATGTCGAGAGCTCTGGTTGGCTGTATTCCCTGACGTGCAATCCAATCCAATCAAATCGTTGCTTTCTGTGATACAAGAAAGGTGGTTATTGCAGGCGAGGTATAAGACGAAGTTCGTAATGGCTTGACATTGTGAAGATGATAGATATGTAGGCTATTATATTATATCATTGTTGGGTCATTTCGTGTCATGCAGAGTTGCATCCCTTTCCTTAAAAATTGCGCACACCGTAGGCTGTAGATGTACATGTAGGCTACATATCTGTATCTGTAAATCCCGGAATTTCCGGAAACCTTTATCACCTCAGTATTGTTGGTTATCATTTGGTATAGTACAGCAATGATATTTTTCTTGTCCAATGCAAAATCTAAACACGAACAGTTCATTTTAGATACGGGTAAAAAAGTAGTTAAAAAATACAGACTATACTTTCATTGTGATATTCAACTTACCTAAAATTAAACTTGACCGTTTTGAACCCGGATGAGCAATAGTAACTTTGCCAGGCTATCAACTCTCTGCAGTGTTATTTCTAAAGTAAAGGGAGGCAACTCAATTTTGTCAAGGTCCAGGACTATTTTGTTATTGTTTGTTCATATTTGGGAAACTGTGGGAATAATTTATTATTGAAAAATACATAAATAATACAAAAAAAATGTTTGTGTTGTTACTATTTTAAACGTTTTGAATTTAACCTTATATTGGAAGTTATTGAGAAAACTTTCAATGTGACGAACTACATTACTGTATATTCTCTTTGTAGTCTTGAGTAGGCTACTCATTATTCAGCCGAAACCCGAACAGTCTTCGTCACCGATGCGAATCTTGAGTAAAATCTCATGTTTGCCAGCACTTTCACGACAAGGTTATTGCGTTGCCGACAGGATTTATAATATCAAAACAGTTGCCCATTGTTTCATCGTCTGCAAGACAGAGCGTTATCATCTAATCAGATTCACCACAATTTAGTATATTGATTCTATAATTTTACTTAGCACTTCCCAATTTCTGCTTTCCAATTTTTGCGTAGTATTTGAGTCCATGTGAGTCGAGAATTATCTGCGGTTGAATGTTAAAATGACGAATCGTCAAGTTAATATACTCTGTGATATATAGAAAAGACATAATATATAAAAATAGTGAGTAAAATTCCTAGTTTGAAGTATTTTTAAAGGAATTATGCAATTTTCCTACATTACTAGTACTTCTGGAGACTATTTACATATATTCAAAACTTAAATTAACCTCTTAAAATGGTACATCCGTGATGTGTTCAAGTGATGTATTGAGCACTATTTTAACAGTGAAATTATTTTATTTTATTGAATATTTATGTATTATTTTAATATTTCATTTTTTTTATTGAATTAATGAGAAGTAAAAGTAAAGACTCTATATCAAAATCACATATTTTCAATAATGCACATTTTCGACAGCCGATGTTGTTTAAAAACTTATAGAAGTAGCATTTCACCAATGTCACACTGAAAATTATAAGGCCTTGGTTTCCAATGAAATCAAATGATACGAAATTATGAATATAAGCCATTTTAAGTCCTACACTTCCGATAGAAGTAGATCAAAATTAAATTAAGGAATCATATAAAATGGCAGATACTGATATATAACAAACACAAGACAATATTATTGAATAAACACACTTCTTTAATAACATATTAAACATATAACGTTTCAACACAAATTACACGCGTCGTCATCAGATGAAATATTCAGAGAATAAAATATAACAGAATATATGAATCATACGGATTAACAGGGTGAAGAATGATAGAGATTGGCAGAGTTAATCCATACATAATAATAACAGCAACAACGAGAAGTCATGGTGAAAGAACATAAGCTAATTAAACCAAAGTGGAAAGTCTTGATGGGAGAACATAAGCTAATAAACTAAGTAAGTGTTAATCTAGAAGATCAAAGAGTGGGAATGATGGGGAGACTGAGAAAATTTGAAGTGGTTGAAGGGGTGGGAGGAAGGAGAGGTGGGTCTGTGGGGGTTGTTAGTCTAGCAAAATTTTTGAAATATATTATCCATTATGTCGGCTTATCTCTGGGAAACGTCTCTGAATTTCTAATGCTTCTTGGATTCGTCTGTGCTAAAAGCTATGTATAGCTATTTCCATTTATCACTGTGGGTGCATCTCAAAGGCTAGAATAACAATTCACTACCCCTAAAGATCTGAAGATTACTAAAGATAAATTCAAGTCTATGGTCGAGTCGGTGATGCTGTTTCCATTCCAGCATAATTATTTTCTAGACTATTTCTCAAACCATCCAGACTGGAATAATGTTGAATCTCATTGGTTGTCTGTTTAGTTCGTAGTTTTCTTCTGTAAAATAAAATTCATTCATCGTGGTTCTGTCCCATTACAAGTAAGGTGCAATACTTACGCCAGCTCGTAACCACACACGCTGGTGCCGTGGACTACTTAAAAGGAGGACCCAGCCAGGGTTTAACCAGCCCCGAATCTATGTTATGATGACAAAAGATATAGTTGAGATATGTTCCTTTAGCAACGGTACGATGATAATGATCCGTCAGATGTGAATAATCCTCGTACCGTTACTAAAGGAACATGGTTGTGACAAGGTATCAACTGGTTCTCGTTGAGTGACTCTGGATTAGTGACTAGTGAGCACAGAACTGACCGGAGCCTACTCGGTTAATTCGGGGCTTTTTAGCGTCCTAGTGGTGTCTAGATGTATAATTATTATATATTAGATTGGAATAAACATAGTTTCAAATACTATTAATCATACTATTAGTCCTTCGAATACCACTCATAAATTATCAACTCTAATTAGAAAGGTACAAACCTGACGATAACTACAACAATGATGATAAATATTATATTCAGGAAAACCAAAACTCCGACAGTTCCACCAATAATTGATGCCAGATCTCTGTCAGAATACTTCGTTTCCCTTTTCTCCATGGAAGACGCTCTAATACTTTCTTTGCAAATAGTTGGAGACGTAGAACTTTCTGAAAAACAAGAGCTATTTAACAAAAATGTTTCTTATCTTAACCTGACCTCGTCTGATATTTTTTCCCTTTCCAGATTAACATAGATAGTGTAAGAATCCTGAACGAGATCTTAAAAACTTACTACTAATAGAGTTAGACTGTGGTGTCGGATATTGGCAGGTAGCTGGCTCTGAAAGGATACAAAGTATTAAATAAAAAAGTAGGGGGAAAGCTGAAATAAAATATTACGTGTTAGTGAAAGGTGGTTTGTAATTGTCTAAATTGTCCATTGTAAGAATTCAACTCACAATCAATCTGAGATGCTGAACACCATAATTGCATTTAGCACAATAATGTGCTATTTAAAATAACATAACGCTAAATTTACATGTTTATATCACAGTTTCGACTATAAAACTTCACATCATGGTGAGGAGTAAATAGAAGAAATTGACAAACCTACCTTGTTTATTGAGGTGTTCAATTGTTCTACAGTCTATAGTTACATTACCTGTATAATGATAAATATATGGAAAATGATTGAACATGGAACTATAAAATACAGTAAATATAAATGAAGAGACCGTCCTAGGGTAGAAAATTCAGAATGTGGAACCGGAATTCGAGGCGACAATCGATATGAAGCACTGGTATCTTGTTGGGTTATATTACATACTAGAAGAAGTTTCAAATATTCCATTCCTGCTGTCGACTGATCATACGTCTTTCGAATCATATGTACAAAAACTGGAAAAGCCATCTTACCTGCACCTCTTATTAAAATTGAGAAATTATCGCCATCTTTATTTGCAACATTCTCAAGTTTTATAGCAGCTGTGTTTCTACTAATATATTTAGCCTTGGGTGGAATAAACGAACCATTCTGTGAGCAATATTCCGAAACATTGTATCCAGAAATGTGAAATCGACAACAGTCACCAGCCTGAAGATTCAATTTCTTAATCGTTAAAGTTAAATCATTCTCCGTTGTTGTCACACTACATTCTCTGTTGAGTTTCATTTCATTATCACCTTTCAAACCATTTGCGGTATAATCCAGATAATATAGAGTTGGAAATCTGTTACCAGTAAATTCAGTTGATCCATTAACCAAGAAGTCGACAGCTAAAATAAAATATCGTCGTCAAATAAAAGAAGAAAAAATCTAATCTAATCTTTATTCTGCCTAAAAAAGTTAAAGGGACCTGATAAAACACTTATATTTAGTGCATTCGCGGGAACTACAGACGCCTGGTTGGAAACTAGTAGGGTGCAAATTGATGCGATCAGTCTCCCCCACAAAAAAATTAGAAACATCTTTACAATCCCTGAAATTGAACTCAAATAATGGTGATTGAAGATGACTGGTGCACCCACCTTCCAGTTGTCCTTACACTGGTAAACAAAACTTACCTTTTGTCGCTTGAGAAACACAACCATAATAATACGTTGTAAAATCAAAAAGATTTGAACTACCAATAGAGTAAAAACTGATTTTACAGCTTGATTTAAACGAACATTCAGTCTTTATGAAGTTTAAGAGTTTTGTCCCATCGTTCGCTGTAAATCTGGTTGCGCTTCCAAGAGTCGACTCTCTAATACTTATAACTAGATACTTTGTCAACAAGGCACCTCTATTGAAATGATACGATACACATGTCATAATGTATGTCAACAATCAATAAATATTAACATACCTCTTGTTACCAGAACACAACCATAAGTATATTTTATATAATCGTAAAGATTCAAACTACCAATAGAGTAAAAACTGATCTTACAGCTTGATTTAAAAGAACATTCAGTTTTTATAAAGTTTATGAGTTTAGTCCCATCGTTCGCTGTAAATCTGGTTGCCCGTATAGTTACACTACTGTTAATATATCTACAACAAGTTGTTTTATTTTTACACTCATCTTTCTCTGTTTGACATTCTGGATAGTTTTTATTCTTATAATAACTGACTTGAAAGTTGGGTATATCTGTTGTTATAACTTGTCCTTCTCCACAATCCAGAATATGTTCCTCACAGCCTCGAATAGTTGAATCATAGCAGTATTGTCTAAATTCCGACCCTGAATGAAACAAGAGATATAGCAATAAAAAGTTTACACAATAAGATATAGAACTATGAGAAATAGGAATGGTTAAAATGGAACCTTAAAGTTTAACGATTGTTGTGTGCTAATAAATGTTAAAATCTACTCTTCATCGAGCATAACAATTGTTATCTAAGAACTTGGTAGGAAATAATAATGATAATGATAAACTCTTTAATTAACACCAAAGTGGCAGTAACCTGTCTAATATCAGCCCATTTGGACAAACAAAGTTACATTGTATCGCCCCCCCCCCCCCCCCTCCTCCTCCCCATCCCCCTCTCCCCTCCCCCTTTCCCCTCCCCTCAAATGTATAATCGAAAATAAAAATCGATGTGCAAATTGCTTAAATGTATAAATTGTCATGTTCACTCTCTTGCAACGCTAGTAAGAGGTACATGGCGTATAACCTTTTCAATGTCTGTGACCTCCGCGTTGCTTTTAGCGCCTTGTCGAAAATAATAAGAAATAATTTACCTGTATTGACGACTATAAAAAGACTGGATATATATAACGTTACGAGTTTCATTTTTAAATCCATCTTTAGTAGTTAATTCTGATCTTTATTCATTGATTCTCAGTTCAAACACTCTGTTCTGTCCATCACCATATTTCTTTAACATTTTTATATATTCATCGCCAATATTTTCATTTTCATTTCGATGTGATTAAGAATTTACTGACAGATTCTATCGAATCAATCCACAATAATCGAAATTAAAACATAATGATTCCTTTGAAAAATATTTAAGAAAAGGTGTGCTAGTCTTTACGGTGGCTCGTTTAGGACATGTTTATTTTTTGTTATTTATGATTTAATTCTCATTTTTGTTTGCTGAATTATCATTTTTGTATACTATTTTCTATTTTTCTTGCTGAAGTACCAAATAATTCTACTTAGTTTTTAATTTAGTAGAATTACATGATAATGTAAACTAAGTAGAATCAAATAAATTATAAAAATGTCCTAAACAAACCACCATTAGTCTTTATGCAAGATATATTTTTTTAAACAATACCATTCAATGCCTATATAGTGTACATGCAATGTAAAAATACAATGAAATGAACGGAGTTTTACGTCCTACTTTTCTGCATTGTATGAAATGTATACATAGGCTATACATGGAAAATCACGATCTTAGTCTATATCTGTTTAACACAATGCAGGTTTTCAGTAGAAATGGACATTGATAAAACATTAAGGACACAATCTGTTTTATTGCTAGTTTTATAAATACACCTCATTCGGAAAGAAAAATACTCTTTAGGCTGTAAAAATTTCCTTCAGATGTCTTCTGATATGATAGTCAATTTCAACCAGAGGCGTATTTATGTTCACTAATAAGCCAACAGGCGTGATGTAAATGCTTCAATACGTGTAGCCACGAGTGTCTGGCCATGTGTGTATTTACACATAAGTTAAAGTTCATAAAAACTCTTTGATCTTCTTTCACCTGAAGATTTTCTAAACTTTAGTCAAATACTATGAGCCACTCGGTTTATCTTAGACAAGTGTGCACTTGGTTGGGCGTGGATTTTCATTACAGGCAACTGAATCCTACAATATTGAAAACTTGATGTGTTAGAGGTAGACGATTGAAAACTTGGTGTGTTAGAGTTAGACGATTGAAAACTTGGTATGTTAGATTTCGGGGAAGGGAGGGTTTGATTCTCCTAAATGTACAGGCCCGGGGTGGAGCAGACACTTTATTTAGAAATTAGGATTAAGGGTCTTGATATTGGGTTTTCTTCTGTTCTTATTCTGACCTGAAATTAGAAAAAAGAAGTATAGTATATGTTATGTACTGATTGTTTTTAGTTTACTATGAACAATATCATCATTTAAGTTCTTATTTTTTGAATATGCAACTATCATTTTCTGCTTATAGACATGGGAGAATTTCTCTTGAAGGCTCTTATAGTGGGCATGAACTATCTTGCTTGCTCGATTGCTGGTTGTATTAAACGGGACAACAAAGGGTGCTATGCCTACATTATGATGAATATTTAGTCCTATAGGTCTTGCTGTATTCAATGTCTCAATCCAATGGGCCTCCCTAGATTGACGGAATTTGGTAGTTTCATCTTCGGGCAAGTCAATTTCTATACGCTCAATTGGGATTAGGGTGAGATCGTCTATTGAATGGTCGTCGAGGTTGAAATGATTAGAAACAGGCTTGTCTTTCTTTAATTTGATGTCTGACCTATGAGCATTAAAGCGAGTTCGTAAATTATTCTTAAATTTAAAAACAATTAAACATATGAAGCGGTTATCAATAATTAACTCTAGTTTTACAGATGATTACTTGATTTTACGGCTTTATCATGCAGATTGTATAGGAAATGACTGACTCATTTTGTCCAAGTTTAGAAATCTTTTTGGTCATCCAAGAGGTAGTAATCCTTTAATATAAGGACGCGTTTACTACTAAATAAACAGTGACAAAAATGCCTTTACAATGTGGACAATTTTTTGATCAAGGAAGTAAATAACAAGCAATTGAAAGAGCTAGTTCGATTTAGGATTTACTTGGGAAATTTCTTTGGGAGACCTTGTTTGAATCCAAAGTCGGTTTGTGCTTTGGTTTTTGCTTCATCTGGTGGTACAGATAGAAACAGGGAATGAACAAACTCAAACTGTATATGTAAATTGGTCGTATACGTAATTATTATTACATACAATGTTGTTTCTTTTGGATTTCAACAGAAATGAAGACTTGGATTTCACATTTTGATGGTATTCGAGGTGTAGATGAATAGATTACCTATTATTTCAATGTGAATAACAGTATTTGTTTAACTGAATGTTGAGACAGACAAAACACAAACGGATGGAGTCGTTAATCGTCTCAATATTTGTTTTATCAGATGATGAAGTTCCGTTTTAGCTTCTTAAAGTGTTTTAAGAGATTTTAAAATGAGATTTCTTAGCGTAACGATATATCTTTCTTGTCTCTTGATATTGTATACAAATGGAGGTAAATATTTTCGTTTATTTAAATTTTTACTTGTTTTCTGGAATAGATCACGTCATGATTGTATTGTACATTTAATATTTCATTGTTGTATTTTTTATTATCTATAGAGTCGGAAGTAGTATTCCTTTAATATGGAATTGATCAATTCATAGTAATGTATTCGAAATTTTACTCATTGTAAAATTATACTCATTGTTCTATATATTTTTTTTATCTATAGGGTGGGAAGTTAGACAATACTGCTATGATTCAACAATTCGAGGCTGTGAGGAACATATTCTGGATTGTGAAGAAGAACAAGTCATATCAATAGATATACCCAACTTTCATGTCAGTTATTATAAGAATAAAAACTACCCAGAATGTCAAACAGAGAAAGATGAGTGTAAAAATAAACCAACTTGTTGTAGATATATTAACAGTAGTGTAACTATACGGGCAACCAGACTTACAGCAAACGATGGGACTAAACTCATAAACTTTATAAAAACTGAATGTTCTTTTAAATCAAGCTGTAAGACCAGTTTTTACTCTATTGGTAGTTTGAATCTTTACGATTATATAAAATATACTTATGGTTGTGTTCTGGTAACAAGAGGTATGTTAATATTTATTGATTGTTGACATACATTATGACATGTGTATCGTATCATTTCAATAGAGGTGCCTTGTTGACAAAGTATCTAGTTATAAGTATTAGAGAGTCGACTCTTGGAAGCGCTGGCACAGACACAAAAAATTTCCTTATCGCGCCTATCAGACCATAATGCAATTCGATACCGACTGAGCTATGCCAATGCCAGTATATGTGAAGTATACGGAAAGGGTCAGCATGCCTCAATGGTGTGACCTTATATCTTATTTTCGTATTTGGTTAAAAAAAAAAGTTACAATCGTGTAATTTTTTAGAGTGGATCAGAAAGATAGACAACATTTTCTTGGTGGTGTTAACGTGATCCAAGCTAAGCGACTATACATTTTTTACATCAGTGCCGCCATTGTTTTCTATTTTACCAACATACGAACTTATCGTACAAGCAAACAGATCGCCAATTGTCAGAGTTAGAGCTAGAATAATTACGGGACCAATATCTATTACAATATCGGCAAAACTCTTTTCATATGCTTTCACTTTGTTTTATTAACAGATAAGATTGTCGACTTCCTGGTTAATGGATCAACTCAATTTACCGGAAACAGATTTCCAACTCTATATTATCTGGACTATATTGGAAATGGTCCGAATGATGATAATGCCGTAATACTCAACACAGAGTGTAATGTGATAACAACAAAGACGAACCTAAATTTAACGATTAAGAAATTGAATCTACAGGCTGATGACTGTTGTCGATTTCACATTTCTGGACACAATGTTTCGGATTATTGCAAACAGAATGGATCGTTTATTCCACCCAAGGCCAAATATATTGGTAGAAACACAGCTGCTATAAGACTTGAAAACGTCACAAATAAAGATGGCGATAGTTTTTTTAATACTTATTAGCGCTGCAGGTAGAGTTCAATTTTTTCAAATGCTTTTCCCGATATTTCTAAAATGCTGCCGGAAAACATATGAATTGTTACGGCTACAACCGACTTACCCCTACCACTCCATCGCCTCAACTCCTTTGTCCTACACAAACAGGTTATCACCTTTTTACGGAATATATAGTTACAATCATGTTGCTGGATCAGTTTTAATATATTTATTATTATACAGGTAATGTGACTATAGACTGTAAAACAATTGAATATGGTAATAAACAAGGTAAGTTGGTCACTTTCTCAACTCCTTATCTGAAGTTTAAAAAACTTGCTGGGCAAATAAAATGTAAACGGATCACCTTATTGTACAGCATGGAACTGAGTGTGTCCTAGTGGAATTCTCAAGATGGGCAGAGCAAAATGTAAAGTAGATAATTATAAACCCCATCTTAAGCTCACAACAAATCTAAGTACATAACATTCGACACGCCCACTATTTGCTACTGGCCAGTATCCGCTGAAAATATAAAAAATTAACGTTCTTCTGATGTATCAATAATTATCTAAAGATAAAACCTGTTTTTGAAACAAAATCTTTTCATGAAGCATAAATATGAAGAGTCAAGAGTTCAAAAGAAAAGAAGTCAGAAATTTTAATTCTATTGAGGGTTAAGTCTACCATGGACTAGGATATTACTGAACTTTTTATTCCTCTGTAAGCTGTAACGAGTCTCTTGCTGTAGACATGTTTTATTTTATATCACTCGAGAAAAAAGTTTAGGGTTTGTAGGAACAGCATGTTCAATTTCTTGAGGATGGCTTGTATATGCAAAACCGTGGCAATTATTTTAAGATCCTTTGAAATTATTTGAATGAATGTTTTTTTATCTGCTGCATCACCGAAAATAGCAGAGAAAAAGACGAAAGAATCTGAGACCAATCTGGCTGGAATAATTGGTGGTACTGTCGGAGGTTTGGTCGTCCTGGTCGTTATAGTTATCATTATAGTTGTCCTCGTCAATAGGAGGTTTGTAAAATCGTAGTTGACCTACTTCTCATTTTTGGTATTTGGCATTGTCAATAGAACTCGAATTCGTCCTTTTCAAGATGAAAATTTGACGTAAGATTTGTCTATATTTGGATAGAAACGTGAAGGTATAGTGACCATATACCAATAAGGTTGCAGTTTCCTGATAACGTTTTGTTTTCTTCTATTTTCAAACTCAATCACGTTATATTATAATGGTTATAGAATTACGAATTGCACTGATATCAGTGGAAACGTAACGTTGGCATAATGAACGTGTTCGGCTTAAGCGCAATGCGACGCTTGTATGACAAATGTACAAATTGTGGTTTTTGTGGTGATTTTGGATGCGTAAATTCTGAAAAAAAAAATTTTCAGGAGAAGACGTCGACCAAAAGATAAAGTTAATGAAAATAATTACTACTCTACTGTCGACGACGATTCTAAAGGAAACTCAAACTATACCTATATTGATGTTGATTTAGACAAAGTCGGCTACAGTAAAATAAACAACCCCGGTGCTAACCAGGTAAAGGGCAGTCATGCCAAGGACAAAAATCCTAAAGAAGAGAAGAGGAAAAATTCAAAGTTCAAAAGACAGGATTTCTCGTTTGTTGAACGCAATTTCGAGAAAATGAATGAAAGTAAAGATGCCAGAAAACGAAATGTTCCAAATGCAACAGCGAATCCCGAAAGAAAAGAGGAGTCTGAACCTGCAAACTATACATACATTGATGATTCTATTATTAAGGCACCAGATACACCATCAGCATCAGCTGCCAAAGACGGTGGGCAACGGAATGCTGCAATGGGGTCGTCGACTGCACAATACACCAAAGTTGATATGAAAAAGGTCAAATTTATTCCAACTAACGATAACAATGTGAATCTTGACAACTATAACCATATTGGGTTAAAAGATGCGCCACCAAAAAACAAAGAACAAGATCCAGACGACAATTATAACCATATTAACAGTAATTTCAAGAACGAGAACTCTTTACCAAAGGGAAGTAACTCAAACCCCAGCAGCAATTACAACTATACTGAAATCGATCGACCACAAGAAGACGTCATTGACGATACTTATGACCAAGCCCAGCAAGGAGGTGAAAGAATCTTGAATCAGAGGAAAAAGAAAGAACTGAGGACTTCGGATACTTACAATCACATTGGAATTACGAACGACAACTCTCTGTTCAAGGGAGCTAATTCAGAACCAGATACTTACAACCACATTGGAATTAAGAACGGCAACTCTGTGTACGAAGAAGCTGAAGCAATGAGAGATACTTACAATCACATTAGTGTCAAGAACGATAACTCTGTATCCAAGGGAGCTCAATCAGAACCAGATACATACAATCACATTGGAATCAATAACGATAACTCTGTGTCAAAGGGAGCTAAGACTTTCAAACCAATCCAACCGACTGAAAACTAAACCACATTAACCTGTAGTATTGAATGCAACCATAGTGTAAGATTGTAGATCTTGAAAGATCTGAAGATTACTAAAGATAAATTCAAGCCTATGGTCGAGTCGGTGATGCTGTTTCTATTCCAGCATAATTATTTTCTAGACTATTTCTCAAACCATCTAGACTGGAATAATGTTGAACCTCATTGGTTGTCTGTTTAGTTCGTAGTTTTCTTCTGGAAAATAAAATTCAGTCATCGTTGTTATGTCCCATTACAAGTATATTGCAATACTTATGCCAGCTCGTAACCACACACGCTGGTGCCGCGCACTACTTATAGGAGGACCACACCAGGGTTTAACAACAACTACCTAGTTTGCGATATCAGCATCCACTGGAAGTTTTCAGCTATCTACTACGAACATGCACGTTTTCAACTGTCTGCTCCAACACACTGAGTTTACAATTTTTTAACTCTAACACACCAGTTGTCTACCACAAACATACCAAGTTTTCAGTTGTCTACCCCGAACAGACGAAGTTCTCAGTTGTCTACCCCGAACATACCAAGTTCTCATTTGTCTACCCCGAACATACCAAGTTCTCAATTGTCTAAGAAAACATACCAAGTTTTTTTTTTCCAAAAAGTATAACTGTACAGTAAGGTTCAGGTGTTAAGATTATGAAATGATTTACTCAGTGAGAAATTTATCTGTAGTAAAGTGTAGCGGTTCACTAAATGAATGCTCAAGATGTTAAAAACTTACTACTAATAGAGTTAGATTTTGGTGTCGGATATTGGCAGGTAGTTGGCTCTGAAATGATATATAATATTAAATTGAAAAATAAGGCGACCTACAATATAATTAATAACGGGATTCTTCGGCAGATAACGAACTGGTTTGTAAAGGAGGGAATGCTAAATAGTAAAGATTCATTACATCTCACATAATATGGAGCTATAAGATAGGATATAAAATTTGAATTACATTTTATTAGTCCAGTGAGGTGTACAGCACTCTAAGGCTCTAAAACTGTACACCATGGTGAAGAGTAAATGGGAGAAAGTAACAAACCTACCTTGTTTATTGAAGTGTTCAATTGTTCTACAGTCTATAATTACATTACCTGTATAATGATTAATATATGTATATTGAAACTGAAAAGCAATATGTAACTAGTTCGTAAAGGAGAGAAATTGATGAAATGACTATGTATTTAAGTGTAGCAAATTAAGATGATTCGAAGTAACGTCTAGGGCCTGGAGGTGCCAACCAGTTTTTGCGTAGTGGTTGTAAGAATTCCGCTATGGACACCCAATGGCGTATCTTGAAAATGCCGGAGGGGGAGGGGGGGCGGGTGCAAATTTGAGATGACCAAAAGCCCCAATGCATGAAGTACCCGTTGACCTTTGACGATCCTGGGGGTGGGGGGTATAACCCATTAGGCTGCCACCTGAATACGCTACTATTGTCATCCAATCAGTACGTCAAATATATGAATGAACCTGACCTGCAGCTGTTATTAAGATTGAGAATTTACCACCATCTTTATTTACCACATTTTCAAGTCTAATGGTAGCTGTGTTTTTGGCAACATTCTTTCCCTTGGGTGGAATAAACGAACCATTCTGTGAGCAATATTCTGAAACTTTGTGTCCAGAAATGTGAAATCGACAACAGTCACCAGCCTTGAGATTCAATTTCTTTATTATTAAAATTATATCATTCTTCGTGGTTGTCACAATACATTCTCTGTTGAGTAAGTAACTGTCTTCTTTCATTCCATTTCCGGTATAATCCAGATAGTATATATTTGGAAAATTGTTTCCGATAAAATTTGTTGATCCATTTACCATGAAGTCCACGGTAATATTATCTGTTGATAAAAAGGTGTTACCTTGACTGCAATTAACTATTTTCTTGTATCACGGACATTTGTGAATGCAGGAATTTAATTGAATGGTTTGCCAGCGAATACAGTCAATCTGAGCCCTCAGCAGAAAGACTGTCAAAAATAATTATGCATGAAATACCTTGACCATTATGAAGATGATAAAAAATTCAAAATAAAGCTTAATGAAAGAATAGTCTTGACCGTTGGTCAAACATAATAATATTGGTCAACAGGGACACCATTCTACTCTCATTCTACAGTGTCAAGCACAATTCACAATCTGCTTGTGAGATGATAATTATGCCCTAGTTAATGTCACCTACAGAATCTTATCCATCATTCTGTTTCTGCCGGAACATGTTAACAATAGTTAATTAATCACATACACTGATAATATATTAATATCAGGTAAGTCACGCTATAGTAAGGCAATCTGACACTGTATCACTTTGCAACTTCTAAATTTACTTTGTCAGATTGAAATATTATACAAACCTGTTGATGCAGAAATACAACCATACTTATACGTAACATAATCAAATAGATTCGAACCACCACTATTATTGTAATACTGACTGACTATACAGCTTGATTTATAAGAACATTCAGTCTTTATGAAGTTTATGAGTTTAGTCCTATCGTTCGCTGTAAGTCTGGTTGCCCGTATAGTTACACTACTGTTAATATATCTACAACAAGTTGTTTTATTTTTACACCCATCTTTCTCTGTTTGACATTCTGGATAGTTTTTATTCTTATAATAACTGACTTGAAAGTTGGGTATATCTGTTGTTGTAACTTGTCCTTCTCCACAATCCAGAATATGTTCCTCACAGCCTAGCCTTGTCGAATCATAGCAGTATTGTCTAAATTCCGACCCTGAATGAAACAAGAGATATAGCAATAAAAAGTTTACACAATAAGATATAGAACTATGAGAAATAGGAATGGTTAAAATGGAACCTTAAAGTTTAACGATTGTTGTGTGCTAATAAATGTTAAAATCTACTCTTCATCGAGCATAACAATTGTTATCTAAGAACTTGGTAGGAAATAATAATGATAATGATAAACTCTTTAATTAACACCAAAGTGGCAGTAACCTGTCTAATATCAGCCCATTTGGACAAACAAAGTTACATTGTATCCCGCCTCACCCTCCTCCTCCCCATCCCCCTCTCCCCTCCCCCTTTCCCCTCCCCTCAAATGTATAATCGAAAATAAAAATCGATGTGCAAATTGCCTAAATGTATAAATTGTCACTTGTCATTTTCCACTCTCTTGCAACGCTAGTAAGAGGTACATGGTGTCTGTGGCCTTCGCCGTTGCTTTTCAGCGCCTTGTCGACGCTAGAAAATTCGGTAACAGATTACAGAAATAATTTACCTGTATCGACGACTATAAAAATACAGGATAAAGATAACGTTTTGAGTTTCATTTTTAAATCCATCTTTAGTAATAAATTCTGATCTTTATTCATTGATATATTCTCAGTTTTAACACTCTGTTCAATCCATCGCCCTTTTTTTCATTTTCATTTCGATGTGATTAAGAATTTACTGACAGATCCTATCGAATCAATCCACAATAATCGAAATTAAAACATAATGATTCCTTTGAAAAATATTTAAGAAAAGGTGTGCTAGTCTTTACGGTGGCTCGTTTAGGACATGTTTATTTTTTTTTATGATTTAATTCTCATTTTTGTTTGCTGAATTATCATTTTATTTTTCTTAGTTTTTAATTCAGTAGAATTAAACGATAATTCAGCAAACACAAATTAAAAATAAGTAGAATCAAATTAGAAATTAAAAAAAATTAAACATGTCCTAAACAAACCACCATAAGTCTTATATTAGACTAAGATATATTTGTTTTTAAACAATCCATAAGTTTTATGTAGGCCACCTTAGATAATAACATATTTGTGTCTTGTAAGTTTTATTGTGCATTAAATTCGTTTTTTTTCAATCTTAATACCATTCAATGCCTATATAGTGTACATGCAATGTAAAAATATAATGAAATGAGTGGAGTTTTACGTCCTACTTATCTGCATTGTATGAAATGTATACATAGGCTAAACATGGAAAATCACGATCTTAGCCTATATCTGTTTAACACAATGAAGGTTTTCAGTAAAAACTGACATTATTTAAACATTAAGGACACAATCTGATTTATTGCCAGTTTTATAAATACACCTCATTCGGGAAGTAAAATACTCTTTAGGCTGTAAAAATTTCCTTCAAATCAATGTCTTCTGATATGATAGTCAATTTCAACCCAGAGGCGTATTTATGTTCACTAATAAGCCAACAGGCGTGATGTAAATGCTTAAATACGTGTAGCCACGAGTGTCTGGCCATGTGTGTATTTACACATAAGTTAAAGCTCATAAAAACTCTTTGATCTTCCTTCACCTGAAGATTTTCGAAACGTTAGTCAAATACTATGAGTCACTCGGTGTATCTTAGACAAGTCTGCACTTGGTTGGAGTGGATTTTCATTAAAGGCAACTGAAACCTACAATATTGAAAACCTTGGTGTGTTAGAGATTGACGATTGACCACTTGGCGTGTTATTATTATTAAGTTCTATTCGACGACTCTCATATTTTCAAGGTTGGACAACGACAACTTTCTGTTTTGAAAGAGATCAGTTTACCAACAGCTTAGATACAACCTACAATTTTGGACACCCGATAAATTCATCAGTGGACAGTGCCATAACTAAACAAAAAACTCCTGTATATGACGATAACTGCAATATACTATGTAATAAATATTGAATATATATATACTCAACTGTAGTTTTACGTATGATTACTTGGTTTTACGGTTTTTATCAGATTATACAGGGAAGTCCACTGATGAAAATAGACTCATATTTTTGGTCATCCAAGAGGTAGTATTCCTTTAATATAAGGACACATGTACTACTGAATAAAGAGAGCGATAAAAATGCCTTTACTATGTGGAAAATTTTTCGATCAAGGAAGTAAATAACAAGCAATTGAAAGAGGTAGTTCGATTTAGGATTTACTTGGGAAATTTCTTTGGGAGACCTTGTTTGAATCTGTTTGAATTTTCTATAAGTCGGTTTGTGCTTTGGTTTTTGCCTCATCTGGTGGTACAGATAGAAACAGGGAATGAACTAACTCAATGTATATGTAAATTAGTTCTCTATTGATAGTATATGTGGTTATGATTATATAAAATGTTGTTTATTTTGGATTTCAACAGAAATGAAGACTTGGATTTCACATTTTGATGGTATTCGAGGTGTAGATGAATAGATTACCTATTATTTCAATGTGAATAACAGTATTTGTTCAACTGAATGTTGAGACAGACAAAACACAAACGGATGGAGTCGTGAATCGTCTCAATATTTGTTTTATCAGATGATGAAGTTCCGTTTTAGCTTCTTAAAGTGTTTTAAGAGATTTTAAAATGAGATTTCTTAGTGTAACGATATATCTTTCTAGTTTCTTGATGTTGTATACAAATGGAGGTAAATATTTTCGTTTATTTAAAATTTTTTTTGTTTTCTGGAATTGCTCATGTCATGATTGTATTGTATTCAAAATTTTTACTTTAAAAATATTCACTGTTCTATATATCTATATTTTTTTTTTAACTATATACGGGTCGGAAGTTTGGTGTAAAGGTTTTTTGTTAACAATCGTTAAATCGTTAAAATTTTTAGCTTCCATTTTAACCATTCCTATTTCTCATAGTTCTATTATCTTATTGTGTAACCTTTTTATTGCTATATCTCTTGTTTCATTCAGGGTTGGAAGTTAGACAATACTGCTATGATTCAACTATTCGAGGCTGTGAGGAACATATTCTGGATTGTGGAGAAGAACAAGTTATAACAACAGATGTACCCAACTTTCATATCAGTTATTACAAGAATAAAAACTATTCAGAATGTCACACTGAGAATAATGAGTGTAAAAATATAACAACTTGTTGTAGATATATTAACAGTAGTGTAACTAAACAGTCATCTACATATACAGCGAAGGACCATGGGACTAAACTCATAAACTTCATAAAGACTGAATGTTCGTCTAAATCAAGCTGTAAGGCCAGTTTTTACTCTATTGGTAGTTTGAATCTTTACGATTATATAAAATATACTTATGGTTGTATTCCTGCATCAAAAGGTATGTTTATAACTAGCTTAACGTACAGATGAATACTTGAACAATTATGATTGTGATTTAAAACATAAACACAAACCGTCCTTT